GGGCGACCTGCTGCCGCTGCTGTCGTCTTCCCCCGGCTGGACACCTGAGCAGCTTCCTTCTCTTGCCAGGAGAGCCGTCGCAGTAGTCACTTATCCATTTAAGCTCTCCAATAACTGAACGCCAGTTTGCATGGTGGCGAGCCCATACGGGTGGCCTCAAAGATGGGAAGAGCAGAGAGGGCAGCAGATATGCTCTGATGATCGTTGGTCCCAGGAACTGGGATGCGAATGGAGAACTAGGGCGATCTTTAGCGCAGCGGGCAAGGCTATAGCTGTTCAGAGGCTGGGCTCACATCTGGAGCGTGGACCAACTCAGACAAGTGCTGCTTCTTTTCTTCTTTGCAGCAGCAGGTGTGTCACTGAGCCTGCAAGAGCCAAGGGCGCAACAAGCATCTTGCTCCATGCATGGAAGTGTCATCCAAGCTGTTTATTTCTGATCACGTTCAAACTGGCAATTAAAAACCAAGTTAAAAAAAAATGAAACTGTTTATTGTTGATCAGTTTGTGTTTGTGAATTTGATTTCACCTGCAAGTATTTGATGACTTTTCTACATCCTAGACTACCTGCTGTGTGTTTGTCAAAGGATTCTCATAAAGACCTCCTTTTAGATGGGCATATACTCTTTATTCTATTTGCTGCATGTACGAGAAAATAAAATATATAATTTTAAAGAAACCCTGTGAGCTTGACTTCCTTTGCCGGCGCGACTGGCGTGAGCGGGGAGAGCCCGTGGACGTGCCACGGCATCCCCGGTAATTGGCAGCTGTTTCTGGCTGCGGGCTCCTGCCCGGCCACCCTGAGGGGACCCTGCTGAGTCCTATTACAGCAGCAGATGCTGAAATGTCGCAGCTTTTCTGCAGAAAAGATGCACTATCCATACAGCTGGGGTACATTGACAAGCGGAGCCTGGGCTGGAAGGCAGGTCCAGAACGGGAAACCGGCAGCCACAGCCACGGCTGCTCTTAAGGGTCTGTATAGACCAGGGAGGGGGGAGGTATTGGTTGTTTTAGATCTTCAATTAATTGCTCATTAAGATGAGTTAATTAACACTATTGCAGCTGCTCTTTCAACCACTCCACGACCATTTGTTCCTAGGCATCGCGCAGCTCGCTGGGACCACGGAGGTAAGCTGGCTGGCGCATGGGAGGTTGCGTGCTGTGGAGGACCCTGCGCAGGCATCTAGCCTGCTGGCTGCGTGCGGAGAATTGCACTGGAAGCAGCT